GGAGAAGATAATGAATGAGAGTTGGGTGCTGGAAAGCCTGGCTTAAAGAAATATGCAGTTTAATTTGTGGTTTGTATTTCAGCCAACATCAGTTAAGTGGTGACTTTATCAAGGTCAGGAAATACCCCCAGGACAAAGGCATCTCTGAGAGACTTCTGTTTAATCTAGCATACAGAGACTGGAAGCTGAAGCTAGATATATTCAGATGAGAAGTAACACACCTAACAGTGATAGTATTAAACCATTGGAACAAATTCTTGGATATATGGTGGTTTTCTTTAACACCTCTAGGTCAAACCTAGATCTTTATCTTAAAGACACACTGTCATTTAACCAAAATTATGGTCTTGAAACAGGATTTACTAGGTGACATCCTTTAAGCTGTGTTATATGCATGGTCATAGATAAGATGATCCTGATGAATCTGTGCAAAGTATTTCTCTTCTTGCCAGCCTCCCACGTGTATTGTTGTTTGGGTTTTTTTTATTAGCTTTGTCTTTTCCTTGTACAAGTGAAACAATGAGTAGGACTTCCAGTGTGCAAGCAGTTTAGCCAAACATGGGTTCTCTAACAGATTTCTGGCTGAGTACCTGTGAGTAGCATTTGAAATTCCTTTACTGTTAGCCTTTCCCAAACACCTTCTCTAGTGTTTGATGCATTCTCTCTTCTCCACTAAGCTGTAGGGTTTTTTCCTGAAAAATATACCATGAAACCAACTACTTTTTTTGACTTCTTTCAGCTTATTAAAGGAGTATTTCACACAGATGTGTGAATGTTGGAGATGCTGTTTCTTCTCTTGCCCATTCTTCACCCTTTTTCCACTGTTGTTGTTTCTTGTATCTGAAAAAGTTTCTTGATTCCAGATGGCTTTTGAACTTTCAATAAAAAATTTTAAGAATTATGTTTATGCACAGCACTTCATAAATAATAATAATAGTATAGCTGCCAGGCAAGATGATTTAGCTCCATTCACAAGCCCAAACTCATGTAACAATGGCTTATACTTGCTTTGACTGGCTGTAATGAGCAGCCCGTGAGTACCATTGTCTACTCAAAAACCAGAAGGATTCCTTTTCTGAAATTCAGCAAGGTAACATCTCTGATTGGTTTTGGCTTTCCTTTGTGCTTTTAGAATTTTTTTTTCCTGTAAATTGTCTTTTGAGTGCTGTGTCCATAACTGCTTTGTTTTGATAAAAAGGAATCTTACATAATTTTGATGAGTGGTGTCCTGAAATGATGTGACACATGGGAAAACAATGCTTAAAAAAACAGGTAATGATTGTGATTTAAAATTCACTAGCAGTAAGCAGTTAATGTGAAAGCAGTTCAGAGTTTTTCAATGATGCCGCAAAGCTCATCTGGTCTGTCTTAATTTCTCTACTGTATAATGAAATTACCTTTTTATCTTTTAAAATGTAACTAGAGTGAATCTGTGTAAAATGAAACCCTATGATTTACATCATTAATTTACATAGTTTACCTAGTTTTCCTGATGATGTTCTCAATGTATTCAATCTTGAAATGAGAAATGGGCCTGGAACTGTATTCCTGTAGTTTTGCTATTGTCACCTTAATTTCACTGCAGTAAGTGGAGAAAGGCATTTGTACTAGTGTTCCTGTACTGGTGAAAAACTGCTGTGACATCAGAATACGGAATACATTTTTTCTGAGGTTTTAAATCCAGAGATAAACTTTTATCAAGTTCTGGTGCTTTCATTCAGCTTAGTGAACCTCGACTTGGGTTTGAAACAGTGGTTATTCTTTGCTAGTTAAATGGCATGTGTTGACTGTAGTTAGCCTGATGCTATATAGATGGTAACATATCCATATTTTAGAAAAAGCTGGTAAGCTTGTCTTGAATTTTTATTTGTTGAAGCTTGTGACTGTCCTCTCCAGAAGAAGGAAGCAATCATGAGATAGAAGATGCTGCCAGAGTTATGAATAGTGTAAGGTAGAGTTTATCTTTAAACTGATAGCAGATCCAAAGGCTCAGCGCTGGGTGATTGGTGGCTTGTTGTGCAGGATGAGAGAGGAATTAATAGGTAGCTGGAGAAATACAGTAAATACCTCCAAAAGTGAAACCAAGCAAAACAGCTTCTTTGTGCATTGTGGAAATTATGTTGAAGGAACCTACCTCCATCTGTCTTCATCATCTGAGCTCCTGTCACTTGTGAAACAGAAGCAGGATCATGTCTGGGGCAATCAGGCTTACTTACGCACAGCTGGCATTTTTTGCTCAACATTGTCTTCTGAATAGCAATAACCCCAAAAGGCCTTGACTCAATGTTTGGACAAAGAGGCAACAAGTTTTATATATAGATGTTCTGTAGGTGTGTGTTATATTTCCCAGGAAGAACAGACTCAAACCCCAAATCTAAAAAATGTTCCTTTTTTATGGGGTTGTTGAGGAAAGGGAGAGATGTTTGCTTTCAAGTTGCTGTTATTTTCTGGCTGATTGACTCTCTTCTGGCTCCTTTCACATAATTACAATCCGGTTCTGCTCCCCTTGGAATTTATGGCGGCATTCTTATTGACAACAGTGGGTTGGAGACATTTTTGGCTCTGGGCATTTTAATCTGGTGTGGCAAAAATCCAGTAAATGTGATTTATGCTCTGGCAAACTGAATTCTATCTTTATTAATTTTATTAATTATTTGTGTTTGCACAGCATCTAGAAATTCTGGTCAGTCATGAGGCTAAGAACTTTACTGTCACAGGAGAATTGTAGGTGACTGTTGCTCTGGAACTATTTTGCTTAAAAGATGGACACTAGGGAGATGGCATTCAGTTTTTGCTTAGTGGGTGAAATAGAGTCCTAACTGCAAGTAATCTTTTTACAGAAAGCCATGGAGACACATTTTCAGATCATGTCTGTATTGTGCTATGATTTATGCTATAGAAATACCTGTGGTATCCAGTAGTTTAACAGTGTAGTTTCCTTAGACTTACGAAATATGTATTGTGAATGTACTTATCATCATTATAAAGCAATGTTCTTTATAAAAAAGAACAACAAGAAGAAAAAAGAAGCAAATAAACAAAAGCCCTCAAGCCCGAAGATGGGAGCAGGGGTTATATTTTTAATGATATGGTGCACATTTCTGTGTACAGTTACAGAAAATAAAATGTTTTTCTGATTTCAGCAATAAAATTGGTTCTTCTTTAATGACTAACTGCAAAGCACTGAATAAAGCTGTGGGGAATATTAAGGACTTTGTCAAAAGGAGTTTTCCTTTTTCTCCCATCACAAGAATGTTACAGACTGTTAAATACATTTAAAGTACAAAATTTGCAATGGCTGAGGCTGTTATGAATTGCTGTGCTGTGCTATTAGCCTCTTATATGCTCATACATACACAAACAGCAGGATCAATTTTTTTTTTTTAATTTTTTTTTTTTTTGCTTACTGAGCTTTGAAGTCTTAAAATAAGCCAGTGAATTCTCTCCAGATGGGCAGAAGCAAAACTGTCCTCCTGAAGCCTGGTTAATGACCTGATAAGTGTTTTGGCATTTCTGGCCTTACCTTTACCATACTTTCAGGGAATGTGATATACAGGATGTGTTGAGCCAGAGTGCTCACAGAAATTAGTAATGTTTATAATAGTATATTCTGCTATGCTAATCAAACTGAATTAAGCTGGAAGAACATGGAATTGTAAAAAGTCATGTGTTTGAATTATTACTAGATAATATGGCCTTTTCAATATAGCTTGTGCTATTTTTACCATATTTAGGTTAAAAAAAAAAAAAGTAAATGTATATATATAATTATTGTTTTTTTGTAAATGTAATGTTAGAAATGTGCATTTCACTGAGCTGGTAGCACCTGCTCTTGTGACCTGAACATTATAGGAGACTTGCAATGGTATCAGTGTTGCTGTGCTGCAGACGGGTGTTTCACTGCTGGATATTTTGCCTTTTGATCATAGGGGCACTATTTGAGTAGAAAATGAAACTCTGGGTAAAAATTTGCTGGTTAGGAGTGCAGGCATGTGCTACTAAGGTCTGTATGAGGCTTTGATGATTTTATCTGTATAAATATGCTTGCTTGCATGTTCTCTCTCTCTGTTACTAAGGTTAAGCTTCATAAAATTTGTGTTGATATGTCTGAATATGTATCTCTTAGGCAGTTCAAGTGAGCTGTGTTTAACCCCATCAGAGCTTTGAAGGAAAAAAAAAACCCAACCACTTCTTTGTTAGCTGAGACCTTTGTAGCTTCTCTTATACCTGCAGAGATGTATGTGAAATCTCTCATTTTTTTGTCATGCCGTATCCTTGACTGAAGAATGGGTCTATAGTATTAATTGAAATCTCATCTAATAAAGCAATACAAAATTCCACAGCCTTGCACTTAAAAAAAATAAATAAGTCCAGTTATTTTAGAAAGTCCTAAAAGTGACTTTTATCAATATACTTTCAAAGAACTCTAATACTTACAAAAATATTATGCACAGTTTAAATAAAAAGAAAGGTGTTTTTATTCAAATTCTCATTACTGTAGTAATTTAAGTCATATATTTTACAGAAACTGAAGATCCATGCATCTGATAATTCAGCTCATGTGTATATCTGTGTGAGTGTGTATCTGTGGTAGAGAAAGAGATACCTATAATAATGAAGTTGTCTGTATCATGGCATATGTATGCACACACTTAATGACAGATACTTAATCCTTGGAAATGTTGAAAATTGAATGCTGGTAACACATTTATAGTAAAGAGTGTAGTGTTTACTTGACCAGACCTTATTTTACTGAATGTCAGGGATGCTTATGTTATATAAAAAGTATGGTCTGGATACAGTTCAGAGCTACATGCATGTGATGACAGCAAATGTATTGTCTTTTTGATCTGTTACCAGTGTATTATTAAAAAGAATTGGTTTCTGATTGTATAGCCAATTATTATTTATCTGAATATAAAGTATGTATGTAAAGCATGGAAGTCGTACTCATTATCTCTATGTTGCTATGCACTTCACTCTGCTCTTTTTGATTTAAGGTTGCCTTTGCCTCCTGGAGCATTCTCAGGACTTTGGGAAAATCAGGAAACTTTTCAGAAGTTATATTTCAAAAAATTTCCAGTAAGAATGGCAAAATTAATTCTATAAACTTTTCGTAATCCTGTAGAACTTAATTAGAGTAGATGTAATCTGGATAATATATAAAATTTTCTTATTTTAATGGGAGATACTTAATATATGTGTTGCAGAATTCAAAACATTTCAAGGTACAACTTTTTTCATAGATACTTCAAGATTTTGGGCACAATCTGTTTTAAAGATGTGAAACAGAAGAAACAAATTCAGGCTTCTGTACATAAAAGTTGGTTTATGTCATCTGATCTAACAAAAGATAGAAGCCTCACAACCTTAGACTAGAGTAGCTTCAAATATATTACTGCTGCTGACATCTAGTCATTTTAACTTGGTATCAGTTCAAAATACACACTTGCCCACTATGTGTAAATATATTGGAGGCTCCTTTCTGAAATAGTCTGTTTCCTTCTCAGATGAACTATCCAAGGACTGGCTTTCTCCTTTCCTTATACAAAAAGATAGATTGGTCCTATGTAACTGTCCAAAATGGAAGCTTCCTTTCAATAAAAGTAAATGAGTGAATTGATCAGGTGAATTCTGTTTTCGTGTGTGTACCTTTGCATGATGATGATGATGATGTATATTTGGATTCAGCAAACAGGAATATCTTCAGAGGTAATTTGACAACATTCATTGTGTTGTAGCGACTCCATTTTTCCTGTGCAGATTCAGGCAACATCTTCTTCAAGCTGTCAGGGGTCAAGGAATCAGGGTAGGGAAGAAAATCCAGGTTTATGTATTGTCTTTTGTTGTGACTTAACAAAGGCTGCAAAACCTTTTCGGGAAAGGGAGCTGCACAGTATATTATGACAAAAGAATGGTGGAGAATATTAAATAATTAAATCTCTTGGGCACCAAATATTTGAAACAATCAGTTTTGTTTGTTTGTTTCATTGGAAATGGATGGATGATCCTGGTACTATTCCTGAGTTTATTTTTGTTTGTGTTGTGTCTAGGGATATTATGATACCATGGATGCAGGTTATATGGATGAAGATGGCTATTTATATGTCCTGTCTCGAGCTGATGATGTGATCAATGTTGCTGGACACAGGATTTCAGCAGG